ACGTGTGTCTTTACCGGTACGGTACGTCGGTGGTAGGTACGTACAGGACGTACTAGTAGCGTAGTATATATATATATATATATATATATATATATATACGTATATTAATACATAATTGTATATATTAATAACATTAAGAATAATAATAACGGCTGTACAAGAAATCGGCTGTTCGCTTTTTTACTGACGCTTCTTAACAATTCTTAACATTCTTTATGATTTTTAGTAGAACCCAAGTACAATAGTTATTGAACTTTGTATTACTACAGTTTCATATCAGTAAATACGTTAAATATTTCAAGGTTTTATAGTAAAGTGTATTAAAGAAAACCTAAAGCTACTCGTACTACTATCTCATATCGCTGACGTTTTACTAAATTAATTGTCTCGCTTCGTGTCGCTAATTACATTAGTGAGTGCCACCTTTTTAAGCCCAAAACAAATATTATATCCCTTTTGTTCTTCTACTCTATCTACAGAGATGAGAATAAGTAAGTAAAAATTGAAAATCAAAGTAGAACGGTGCTTGATTAAGCAATCTGATGTTACAGTAAGAAGTACATTTGTTTTTCCGCATAGCTCAGTTTTTCTAAGTGGGGTTATGTTAATTAACCTTTTTCAACACTTCACTCCAGAAGATCAATATCCTTACAACAGTACAGGTAAGCTCTTTACATTAATAAATATATATTTAAATTTCTACCATCGGCGTACAACTTCTCAACATTGAAATGCATAAGCTGCTAATATAATGCATCATAGTCTACATTTTTAATGTGTTTTTTTTATTAAAATACTTATATTTAAAACCAATATTTGCGAATACATTATACAGTATTTTATATCACTCGTGAAATATATTTGAGGGCTAAAGTTATAAAAAATTTAAAAACTTAACTGAAATTAAATTATGATACTAAATATAATACTGTTTACCGTGATAGTCTGGGTTATTTTAATACAAATTTACTTGCTTAATATAATATTTATGAACTTGTGTGTTTAACTTTAAGTTTAACGTTAAACTTAAATTATGATCAACCTTTTAAGTTCTACTCACTTCTACTTCTAGTACTATTAGTATTACTAGTACAAGTAGCACGACAACTACTGCTAATACATAATTGTAATACTACAGAGTATGAACACAAAAGTTAAATGCAATGTATAAAAAATAAACTGGATATAGTAGTGATCGTGGAAATAAATTAAAAGAACTTACCAGCACATCAATTGACATATCAGACCCGTCTAACAAAATAACTTTACATGGTAGCACATGTTTACTAGGCTTTGTGGTATATGATGGCGTGTAAATTTGTCTTTTACTAGTTTTACTTTTAGCAGTTCGGGACGCCCTGCCGAACCGTTTACTCAGGAATCTTAACATTATTTGTGTTTTTGAACGTTATCACAAGTCTCAGGGACTACATGGATATTATTAGTTTGAATTAATGTTTAGAAAATAAAAGCATCACCCCTAACATCTGTCTAGTAGTAGTAGTAGTACCATCAATGTGTCATTACATTAACTACGCCATAACCATTCGTCCTCATGTCACTATCGCATAACGTTATCCTTCACGCTCTCCACTTTCATTTCCACTATTTCTCCTTTCACACATTCAACTGTTTTGTAGACTCAGTCAGTAATCCGCATGCGCGAGAGGATTCTTACTTTTTAATAGCGCCATCTTGTAGCAATATTTTAATAAATGAATAGTAAATAGTATTATTTTCTAGCGCTTCACTGACATTTATTTCATTTTTCTTTATGTATCGATGCTAACACAATATCTACATAAAATAAGCCTTTGGTAAGAACATAAAAAGTGTATATGAATGCGTGCAAAAGCTTCCAGTTCAACAGGTAATCAAAATAACGTTAAATTGTGATTTTGGTTCTTTATTCACTTCACACGAACATTTCAAAAATCCGTTGATTCACTCAAACTTTGAATTCACCTAGAAGCATATCATTCAGACTAACTCTAATACCATGAGTAAAAAGATGGCTCCTTATTCATGTATTCTGTAATACTTTTGTATTTTGTATTATTTTAAATAGATATCACAGACTTAAGCTTTTTTCGTTTTTTTTTTAAATTATTTTTACAAATTTTCTTATTCGAATGTGTTAGTGTGCTTTCTTTATACGTCATAATTGCAACTAAGAGTACATATAAAATGTCTTGAAGTGGAAGTGACTTAATTTGCAGATTATGTCAAAGTTCATCATTACGACTAAATATTTGACATTCTTTAACAGAGCTTGAGAAAAATCTTTCTGTTTTCGTGTGATAGCAAAATATAAACTCGGAAAATGTATGTGAACTTTATCTGATTTAAAGTCGCAGAAGTTTAGAAATAGAAGAGTTTGTGTTTACGCATGTTCTTTTTAACAAAATTAATTATAAAAATTCAATTTTGGATTTGAAGCAATGATGTTTCTATACTTTGTAACAGCAAGAAATAAAGATCAGATACAGTTCACATGCTAGATAACTGATGTTATAGATGTTTTAGGTGTAAGATACAGCCATTCTTTATTGTATGTGCAACCGCTAGATATAGAAGCCTAATAAAATATTCAAAATGGTAGTGCTACAAAATAAAAATAAGCGGAGAGAATTCAAAGTGATGCATTAAAATTTGCAAAACAAAGCATGTAGAACGAGAAAAATTTTGCAAATATGAAACAAAAGCAACTAGGATATTACATTCACAGAATACCTTTTTTATCTTACTTTAGAGGAAAAAAGGGGTAATGCAGAAATATAATAAGAGAACTTCGTAATAAAATTGATAATTTTTGTTCAATTGCAGACATTTCTTTTGACTTTTAGCTAATGAACTTGAAAATCAATTTTGCTGGTAGGGAATGTCGTTAACCTGGTCAGAAATGTCACGTAGTTAAAAATCTCACTATTTTAAGACCTCTTATGCAAAAGTCGTGCGCTATGATAGACTTTAACCTTTACCAGCGGATGTCATCTTTGTTTTTGTTTTGTTTTGAATTTATGCACAAAGCTACACACAGGGCTATCTGTGCTCTGCCCACCACGGGTATCGAAACCCGGTTTCTAGTGTTGTAAGTCCGCAGACATACCGCTGTGCCACTGGGGGGGGGGGTCATCTCTATATAACCTGCAAGTTTGTTTGTTGTCAAGCGCAAAGCTACACAACGAGCTATCTGTATGCGTTATAAGTCTTCAGACTCGTTGATGAGCCATTCGGGCGGGGGGCAAATCTGAAAGACTAAAAATTATTTTTAATTCAAGAACAGCTCAAACGAATTCTTCTGATAAGCCGAACAAAATTTACTTTGAAATCGTATACTTTCGAAATAAAGTAGATCACGGCCTGAGAAGATCTGAGCTTGTCTTTATCCGCTTGGTCAGCTAAAAGAGAAATATTATATTTAACTACACAAAAACACACAAAGAAAAATTATAAGTGGTCTGGTCTTTGTTGAATACACCTTCCCAATCTCTAAAATTATTTAAACGAGTATAATTCAAAACACTACATAATTAAATATATCCATTAATATACTGCCAGAGAGAGAGAGTTTGTTTGTTTGTAGTTATGCACAAAGCTACACAATGGGCTATCTGTGCTCTGCCCACCACGGGTATCAAAACCCGGTTTCTAGCGTTGTAAGTCCGCAGACATACCGCTGTACCACTGGGGGGCTCCAGAGAGAGAGAGAGAAGAAAAAAAGTTATTTCAATTAATGAGACTAACATTCGCGGGCGAATGCAACATGTCTCCGCCACGCAATCCCAACATGACCAATATCAACGCCAGAAAATTCCTAAAAACACAGACAAATCGAAAACTGTTTATGTCACTGCTTGGGGCCTGCAAGAAGGAATCTTTATACCAGACCCCATATAAAGTGGTCGAAATATGGCCAAGAAATGAACCCAAACAATCTAAAATTACGCTTTTTGTGATTTTTGATCTCCCTTAAATAACAAAAAAGGGCATATCTCATTTTTGTATGTATATGTGTGGGACCTGTAAAAAAAGTATCTTTGTACCAAATCTCATGTAAATTGGATAACATACGGCAGAGGAATTGTAAAAAAAAACACCTAAAATTATGCTTTTTGTAGCATTTTGACTTCTTTAATTACTAAGAATGAGCAAGTCCACCATTTTTGTTTATCAAGGCGTGAAATCTGTAGAAAAGTATCTTTGTATCAAACTCCATGTAAATTGTCAAAATATGGCCAAGCAATTGACCCAAAAATCCAAATTTATGCTTCTTTGTGAGCTCTGACCCCCCAAAGAAGACTCAAAATAGGCAAATCCAACTTTTTTATGTCAGTGTTGAGCGCATGAAAATTTATTTTTGTACCAATTTTCATGTTGATTGCTGTAAATATGACTGCAAACTATACATTTTGACCTTTGACTCCATAAAATTGTTGAAAAGGCCTAATTCACAAAAATGAAAAACATATCTGGGCGTATTTGACTAAGGTATAACTTTACCAGGTTTCAAGTCAATCCACCGAGAAATGAAAGAATGTCGGTTGATTGAAAAGTGTTTAGAAGAAGAGAGAAATAAATAAAATTGGTTTGGTTTGAATTTCGCGCAAAGTTACTCTAGGGCTATCTGCGCTAACCCTTTCCTAATTTAGCAGTGATAGATAGAGGGAAAGCAGCTAGTCAACACCACTCTTGGGCTACTTACCAACGAATAGTGGGATGGACCGTCACTTTATAACACCCCCATAGCTGAAAGGGCGAGCATGTTTAGTGTGACGGGAACCCGCAGACTGCGAGTCGAGCGCCCTAACCACTTCGCCGTGCCAGGCCTCAGAAAGGAGAAGAAATAATAAATAATAGAAAACAGCATGTCTCTCTGCTGATACATAATTATCGTTCCTTTTTCTTTTTTTTAAACTAAAGTACGGAAACTATTATGATTTAAACGCAGACAAACATCCATTACTTGTGAGGACAAACTTAAATTCAAGCTTATTTAATATTGTAAGTGTGCAACATAAACCTAAAATATTTTAAACTGTGCAAATGCAATTTAATCCTTTATCTTTGAAATGATAATTAAAATTCATAAACATAATTATCGAAATAACACTCAACGAAAATATAATAATTACCATTTATTTATTTCAGACTATCGTGCCCATATTTTAATTACGTATTTATGTTTTTACTTCTGCTTATACTCGAACGATAATCAATTAATATTAATGTATTTCGTGATTGTTTCATTTATTTGCATTGACATCGCCCCTGATGGATTGCTCGATTTTCCAACAGATTGAACCACTGGCATAACTTGGCCAATACTGTATTCCAATCTTAAAGTTGTACCTCACTTATGTGCTCGATAAAGTAAAGAGTTGGGCTGGACCATCCAAGTTCAGAATCAGTAATTGGAGTGCCTATTTATAAGACCAGCTATTCCATGCCTGAAATGCTTGAGGAAACAGTCTGTCTTTTTTTTTCTATACCTCTGAACATCGAAGAGGAAATCTGATTTGCCCCACTCACAGGGACCTGTGATTATGGCCAAAGCCTTTTCTTTGTGGGTTCTCGACCAATACCTGGCTTAGATATCGCTGATGTCATGGGTATGGCGCAGTAAGCATTCTCAGAAACTCCGACCCTCGAATGAGTAGTCGGACCCTGTTCCAGAATGACAAAGCAACTATTTGCTCCTGTCAGTTCATTCATAGCTCTGTGTGATCCCAGGTTTCTTTGCAATCCACAGTTGCCCTGGTAAGATACCTTCCGGCTCAGAAAGGCTCTTTATTGCCTCATGGTTTATGGTTTTCACTAGTTGGTACCTGCTGGGGAAATATCTCTGAAGAACAGACTTTGTCCATCATCATCAGTGTTTTCAGTCTTTCTCCGTTTTCTCTTGTGGCCTTAACCAGAGCTAGTGTTGTTTTACTTTGGCTGGTGATGGCCTGGGAGTCCTCTACATATGGGCCCAAACAGTCAGGCTTACCATATTACATTCCACTCTGGCGGCTCTCATTCGTTCTTGCTTCCTCTGCAACATTTGATATACCATTCTGGGTGCACCAGGCGTTGGTTGATCTACCTAGGTATGTGGCAAAAGTACGACATCTTGGAGGGGATTTCTCCTAGACCCAAAAACTTCCTTATATAACTGTCTCCCCATCTTAGTTTTGAGTGCTTCGACTTGCAGAAAATGTCATTCTTTAAACTTGAATAAACAATAGTTCAAGTAAGGATAATACACACGTTAACAGAAGATAAACAAAAACAAAAACACAATAGTATCCTGTGGTCACGGCACCGAAATTTCTCCTTCCTTCCTACTCTGTGATATTTAATGTGAATAGATTTTCCAAAAGAGTAAATTAAGTAGGTTTTTTATATAACAGGAGGCTCAGGAAGATAAATTGTGAAGTAATAATGAATTCTACAAATTAATGAATGTACGAAAAATAAATAGACTGGGCACAAAGTGTGATGCACAATGAAATATTTCTTTATTAGTATCACAAACACTGACACAATTTATGTACTGTTATTGGACGCTGGATTGTCACCTTTACTGGAGTTGTGAAATGACCAGGCTGGATTTA